GGCGGGGGCGTCGAGTTAGTTTTAGGATATGACGGGTGCTAAAAACATTATGATAAGACTAAGGATAGAATAGCTTTGATACCAAATTATACCGGAATTAACCCAAACCATAATATATAAAGCGTTATTACTCAAAAGCAAATAGGGTTACAATCACAGAATCTAAAAATAGAAAAAACAACAACAAACACAAATACCCACTAGGGTGAGGTTTGAAGGTGCTGCTCGAGGCGGTGGAAACTGAGAATGAATTGTAGGTGGTAGAGTGGTCTAGGAGAAGCTAGAGGAAGTCTGGCATGCAAATGGATAGCTACGGGGCTGCTGGAAGGGAGATGGGAAGGTGGCAGCAGCAAAGGGTGTAGGGATGTAAGGTTGTCCAACGGCTGGACAATAAGCAGGAGAGAATGGGAAAGGGTGGCAGCAAGCAAGGAAGGGGTGGCCGCAAGCTGCAAGTGGATTGGAAGAGGCATCGACAAGCAGCGGGTGGACAAGAAGGGTGGCAACAACAGTAAAGGGGTTGGAAGGGGCAGCAACAAGTAGAAGGATACAAACCAACTTAGGACGAGCTACAGCTGAAACACCATTTTTTCGTCGGATACAACCCTAGAAGAGAAAAATGAGACGTCGAAGACTACCCTGACAAAAATCTCAAGCAAAAACTACAAATCTAAAAACAAGAATCACATATATAAGCTCTAGAAAACTAGGATTGAATTCCCCTATGGAAAGGAGGCACCAATCCCCCGTGTGAAAGCCGATTGGCCATCCGGAGTCTGGACTTCACGAAGGAAATTATGGGAGAAGCTCGCTGCTCTCACTACGCTGTGCTCGCTGCTCTCACTATGCCGTGCTCGCTGTGTTATTTGTCTGCCCCGCATTAAGAGATGTCAACATTGAGAAACAAAGGTGCATTATTCGAGCTTTCATGAAAAAAAACCCTAGAGAAGAATAATTAATATACAGTGACTCCATGGTTAGTACACAAAAAGCCCTAAGGCCCAAAGAGAGGGAATGACAAATAACATAATAAATCACCACACAATAAAGGCGGAGGAAGAAAGATGTATTTGGTCACTTTCTGGCAATATTTACAATACCTAAAAACTAATTGTGACGAACTCAAAGAAATTCTAAATCCTAACAAATGATTACAGGCTCTAGGAGCATAAAAATTAGCAGCACTGGTAGAACTCCTGAGAAGAAAGCATGAAGGTTGGCCCTTCTGCCAACAAAGTTGTAACCTACAACCAGCTTTCATAATTATTTCCTCAACATGTGCCACAAAGCCGCATCCTTCTAGCAACATTGTTTTGGCTATGTGATGTTTTATAAGGTATAAATGAAAAATACACTAAATAAATTTAACTCATACTAGAATTATAAAAAATCAGTCCATTGCATTTGAATTTCAAATAGATCATTTTCACACACGAAAGCATGTGCTAATTATCAAAGATGAGAAAATAATGAGTTAGTTTCCATTTGAATAAAATTTTCATAATGTTTTATTTTAATTGTATTGTTTCTTGTACTATAGCAGCAGTTGTGGAAATTCAAAATTTTCCTTTGAAACCTGCATTCAACAGCTGATAGGGATTTGGATGCGTGAGATGGCTAATTAAGGGGGGAGAAGAAGAGAAGAGAGAAGAAAAGGTGGAAAGAAAGAAAAAAGCTTAATAATTAACTATCCTATTTTCCATCCCTGATTTTCCCGATTTTTGTGAGCTCTAGGAGACAGAAATAGGAGGAAAGAAAGAAAAAAGAGGGGAGAAGAAGAGAAGAGAGAAGAAAAGGTGGAATAGCCTAAGATTCTGAATTTTTTTTAATTATTTTTTTAATTTTCCTATCATTTAAAATTTCTTCAGTACAATAACTTTGATTTGAGCTTGATAAGCATATGAATTTGTATGAAAAGTAATTCGGATGTAACAGGTTATTTCAATATTATATTGGTTTAATTTGATTTGATAACTAGGAATAGAGTTTAATAGTTGAAATTTATTTAGTTTAGGTTTTTTATAAATGAATGAAGTTTAGGGGCGTTTGATTCAAAGCAGTAAATCATCATTCGGGTAATATACATAAGATGAATTTACGTACACAGCACCCAATTCTTATGCATTTACCTATCTCACAACCAAACTCTCATTTTTTTACAAACCGAGCACCCAACCACTCTCCCAACAGGGAAATCCACATTTTCATCCTTAGGCAGGGTGCTTATTTTGTAAAAATAAGAGTTCGGGTGTAAGATAGGTAAATGCATAAGAATTTGGTGTTTTATATGTAAATTTCCATATATACAAATTGTAATTAAAAAAATATTTTTTTCTTTTATCTTTTGCATATGTATTTATATGTAAATTAGACACATGGGGACAATGCAATAAAAATCTCTTATTTTATAGAAAACAACTTTACAATTTACTACCTAAGTGTAGATGATCACACATAAATTTTGATAATACAATCTCTCAATTACATAATTTTTGTCTCCAATGGCAGACAAGATTAAAGAGAGTCGTCTTAGATGGTTTGGTCACATTAAAAGTCAACCAACTGATGATCCAGTCAGGAGAGTCGATAATTTAGATTCAACTTATGTTAAGAAAAGTAAATGTAGGGCTAAAAAGACCTAAGCATGTTGTATACAATGTGATATTAATTTATTAGAATTAAATGAAAGTATGACATTCAATAGAACACCGTGAAAAAAAAAAGATTCAAGTAGCCAACCCCACTTAGTAGATAAAGGCTTGTTGTTTTTGTTGAATCTCTTGATTATTAATTATGTATATCATGATTATATAAATATTTTAATTGCTAGCACTTTTAAATAAAGACATCTAGTATTTATAAATTGCTCATTTGTATATACAATTATTCAACATACTTTAAAATGAATTGTATGTTTATTTCAATGTTCAATGATAAAAATTTATTGTGTTTAAGAAATATAATGTTATTGGGAATAGACTAGCAATGACATATTTATGATACTTGTAAAGGTAGGGCCACAAAGGTGAGTCCATAAAAGAATATGATAACATGTATAGATAAAGTGATAAAAATAAGCTCATATATGAATATAAAGCCTGTACGGATAGGATGACAAAGTGGAGTCCATATGAAAGTAAAAGGGTCTTCAAACTAAAATGCTTAATAAATCTATACAGGTAGGGTGACAAAAGTGGGCCCTAATATAATGGGTAATAAATTTATTATCACAAGCATTATATGATCGAAATCTGAGAGAAATATTCCCTTTTATGCCAAGTAATAATTGAAAGAAAACAGAGAAAAAATTATGAAAAATTTAAACTAACATAATATCACTTGTGTGTATGTTAAAAAATAGTATTTTTATGATTATAAATTTAATACTCTTTTAAATTTTATTTTTAAAATTATTTTATTTATTATCAGATCAATTGTTGTTCAAATGATTTTATTTTACAGTGATTATTTAAAATTAGATTATTCTATGTTATTTTTATTTATTTCTTAGACTATTTGAATTCTATAATAGAGTTGTGTATCTTTTTGAGCTTCTAAACTCAACATAAATTATGGTAAATTTTATTTCAACAGAAGGAAAAGATAAAGGTAAGGGTGAGTAAGAATCAGCCTTATTTCTGCAAATAATAATTTTCTTGTAAAGATGTAAATAAAAGATGAAGTTTATGCTTTGTAAAAGAATCCTAATGTGCATTAAATGCTCCATAGACATATAATTAGAATATTTTGGATTAATTCTGCTAAATTTGACTGGTTGATGTTACCGAATATGCACAAATTGTAATAATATATTATATGATGTTTTGTTTCTAAGTTATTACGTTTATCACCCTTTCTATTTCGATAAGTAGAATACTAGAACAAGTATTTAAGTATATTCGATCAGCTAAATTACATCTCCATTACAACCTGCTATAACATAGAGGAGAGGTTGTCGTGGGGCATGACACTATACATACAACCTTATCATCGCATTATAACATACACAATGAAGTGCCATTTGAATGATAGCTTATAAACCTCAACTGCAATAAGATATTGTGTGTATTAACATGAACTATTATCAAGTTAACGCTTGAAAAAAATTCAGAATCCTCATAAATATTAGTAAATACATATGAGAGCATTTCCAAAATCTAAACAATCTTGATATTGAGCTTCATATTTGCAAGAGTTTTAAGCAATTTCCCTTTACAATTAGCTGTAAGTCCAGCCAAGATAACCATATTTTTGTTGCAATTTGCGAATACAACTCCAAGCAGTATGATTATTGCAACCTTATCCATTCCCTTTTCCAAACGAAGGCAAATCAAGAGTGCTAGAAGCAACCTTTAAGAACATAAAGTTTAAAACTAAATAAAAAAGTATTCATATTTGATTAACTTGAAGTAATATAAGAATCATCCAACTGAGGAATAAATTAAATAGCTGAATTCCTACTTCACAGTCACACCCAGAATCTTGTTGGAAAGTGCCAAGAGTTTGAAAAACTTTTTTCATTTAATAGTAAAACTTGATCCTCAACTACTGAAGGTCGGAAGAAAAAAGTTTGAACATACCTTCCATAAGAATACCAATAACTTGAAAGATAGATTATATGAAAGCAGAAAACATAAAACTACTTCAACGTCAACTCACCAACTTCCTAGGGAATTCGATCCTCCAACTGGAATAACATATGGTTTCCTCCCTTCACTTATCAGTCGCTCTTTTAGCAGATCAGCAAGAGCCTACACAGAATCAGAAGCATCATTTGGTAAATCTCAACTACAAAAAATCAGCAAATGAAATGCAAGATATAAGAACCAACTCACGCATAATAAAAACAATCTTCGATGTGATATATTTCCTTCCAAGATCGTGCATATTAACAAAGTTACACATTAAAGCACAATATTAGAAACCGAGTGGAGCCAGATCAAATAAAGAAGAAATTATTAGATGCAGGTAAGAACAATCTAAAATAATAATAGAATAATAATCACCATTATTACCCGTTTAATACAGTGTCAAAGCAATCAACAATTCAACTGAGTCCTTCTATGTATTCTAAAGATTTGAAGGCTTGCATAGAAAAGCTGCCATTTCTACATCCATTAGTTAGGGTAAATTGCAGCATTATTCCCCTTTTCGACTACATTACGTGATAGTCTCTGACTCTAATTTTTAAGGACAGACCAACTTGGTCCATTAATTTTACAGAAATCATACATGCCTTAGTCATAAATCGAACCATGAGAAATGGCAATGAAAAGACGATTAGACGAATGTTTTAAAAAGTAGGTTCACTAGGTCCCCAAGTTAATTCCACCATATCCCTCGTCCTCCATATCACCCTTTCCTCCACCTCTCAGTGACCTCTATCCATCTTTGCAGCTATCACAACTGATGCTTGCTATGCATATGAATGTAAGAGGTGCTCTTCTATCTCCTCCTCCTTAGACTCAGCTTCCCGCACCAGTTGAACACTATCTCCAACAAAATAAATAAAATGAAAGTCCCTAGTTTTCTTCCATGTCACGTATCATTGCCTTTACCCTGCCCCCCAATTTTTAAGACCAAAGCTTGACACATTTTAAATGCAAGAAACAACAAATATAAACAAGATGATTATAAAAATTATAGTAAGAATGAAAAGTCATTTAGTCGTATTTATCTTCAGAAAATACAAATAAACTTCAAATTGTAGACAATTATTTTTAAGGGATGGCAATATACAAACAACACGTTTTAATATTAGTATCTATACCTGCTTGCAACTAATAACGAAAGTGAAAATACAAGTGTTTCTTTTTAATTACTGTAACATTATTTTTTTTCTTCAAAAGGCAATTTCTCCAGGGTGCAAAAGAAGTCTTCATGATAACTTACAAGATCACAGGCACACCATTCCACATGAGTATAGAAGTGTATAAGATAAAACTCAAGCACTGAGAGCAAGCCATAATACTGCACACGCCATTGTGGCAAAAAATGGTTCACAACACATGAATTTAAATGCATCTGAACTAGAATAACAGATCCATTTGAATACAGTCCAGGGCCGATTTCGTGTATAAAAATGACAAGAACAATAACTAGTTATCCATTAAAAACTAAAATATTATACTAAAAATAAGAATGCAGATCAAAAGATTACACACCACACTGCCGATACTTGCATATTCTTCCTTTGAAACAAGTTCAACTTTTGCTCCAACTAATCTCTCAACAAGGAGATTGCCAGTCAGACCAGGATCTCTGTCCACCAGAATCTGGAAAATATCATGCCAGAAAGTTTCTCTGGATGTTCTTGAATAGAAATGTGGCAAATAAAATGACACAATATGTTGCATAACACTTAAGGGTAGAAAGCTGATTGCAATGTTGGAGAAAGGGAGAGAGAGAGAGATCTAGTTGATTAAGATGGTTTAAATTACCTTTGAGGTGCGAAGTATTAGATAACAGTCTATATTCAGATATCTAGCAGCCACAGCAGTTGCACGACAGTGGTTGCTCTGAATGCCTCCAACCGTGATTACACAGTCTGCACCATGTGCCACTGCATCTGCCAATAAGAATTCCAGCTTCCTGACTTTGTTACCACTCAATTGCATTCCTGACAGATCATCACGCTATGTGTTTTGGATTCTCAGTTAGTCAAAATTTATTATTAAAATAAATTCCACTATAAATGATGGAAATTTCAAATACAAATTAGCAAGTGGTTGACAGAAAGAAAAGCTTAAGAATCCACTCTAAAATGTACCTTTATCCAGATTTCTGTATCGCTGGGTAGATTAGGAACGCTCAATTTATGAATTGGAGTAGGAAACTGTAGGTAACAAAAACAAAAATCAGTAAAATTCGAGCTTATTTGGGATCAACTTTGGTTTTTATTTTTCTTTTTTCTTTCTTTTTTATTTTAAAAATATATTTATTTAGTGCATTTTTTATATGTTTTAATTTTTTTATAAACAAGTTATCATCTTTCTGTAAACACACAAAATAATTTTTATATGTTTTGAATGTTTTAAAACAGCCTTGTTTGATTGTGACTTACCAAACATGTTTTGTATCAAATCAATATATAAAAAAATAAAATAAAAATAAAAAATAAAATTGATTCCAAACAGTCCCTTAATCTCTAAAAACCATGCACATGAAACAAAACAAACTTGATTATCAGGTAAACCCATTAAGCTATTAAAGTGCCGTAATTGCTTTCTACTCAAACAGAAAATAAAGTTTAGAAGGCTATTATCTCCCTATTTAACAAATCTTGAATAATGGAAGACAAGGATAAAATTGAGAATTAGAGCAGACTGTGAAGGCCATCTCAGCCCCTACATTGATCAGGAAGACCAAGATGTTTATGAACTAGTTGTTCCTAGCCCTGCTGCAACAAAGTCTACTAAAAAACCTGATTAAGCTGCTTCGTAAGACTTGAAGTAATGTCTGAGCCAATAATCTGCCCAAAAAGTATCTTTCTGAAAGTTAATCCTAAGAGATTAGTACTACATGATAATTCATTTTTCCTTCATCTTCAAGATAATCAAATGAGAATGGGACGTCTATTAATAGCTAGAATGTAGAAAATGTATGTGGCTGAGGATTGCTACTCTAAAATGCACTCCTATTCATAATTGCTTTCAGATCACCAAAGAATATCAGCATATTTCCGATTAAAAGCACACTCTACTTGCCTTGGGCGACACTAATCAAAACTCAGTGGCATTATCGATATCAAAACTCAATATAGTTTTGAAGTTAAGACTAAAGAAATCCCAACTTGTTCATTAAGTATGATGATTTGGAAGATCCCTCCCATATATTTCTGTATATGGTACTGATTTGCTTTGCTTTTATTTTTTTCCGTATATGTGTTTTTGCATGGTCATTTTGGACTGGATAAAGGGCTATCTCACGTGTTCTTTTGTTGTTACATTATGGGTGAATCAGTTACTTTTGGGAATAACCTAGGTCCTGGAAGTGAAATCTTAACCACAAACTTTGTAAATTTCTAGCAATTCTTTCACACTCAGCTTTTGCACAAGATCTTGCAACTGCATTATCCTTTTTACTCCTCTATGTAGCCAAGTCCCACCTATAAAGTTAAAGAATCTTTAAGTTAATCACCTATCATCAACCATCCCTTCCCAATTAGATTCTATATATTGATCGATATTTTACTTGCTTGTGGAGGGTTGCATTAGGTAGTCGACAGCCAGCGTAAAACTTGTCGAAAAAAATCATGACATGAATCATTTTGATCATTGTGTAAGTGCTAGGGCGTCCCCTGGAAGCGACGCGCTGTATAGCCTGAATACAGTGAAACGTGTGCAAGGGCCGCTACACCGACGCCCAGGTGTAGTGTTAAATAAGCAAGGGTTCCCACATTACGGGCGAATGCGGGTAAAGAAGTTAGTCCATGAAACTAATGAAACTAATATTAGGATAGGATCTTGGAATATAGGCACTCTCAAATTAATGGAATTAGTTGATATTATGATTCATAGGAAAATTAATATCTTATGCATTCAAGAAACTAAGTGAGTTGGAGAAAAGGCTAAGGAGATTGACAATTTAGATTTTAAACTTTGGTATTCTGGTAAAAGTCGCACTAGAAATGGTGTAGGTGTAATTATAGATAAGAGTTTGAAAGATAATGTTGTAAAAATTAATAGAGTTGGTGATAGAATTATAGCCCTTAAGATTATCATTGATACTAAGATTTTTAATATTATAAGTGTTTATGCTCCTCAAGTAGGTTTAGATACAGAGTCTAAAGATAAATTTTGGAATGACTTAGAAGACTTAATACAAATGATACCTCTTGAAGAAAGAATTTTTATTGGAGGAGATTTAAATGGACATGTCGGTAGAGTGGTAGAAGATTTCAGAAATATTCATGGTGGCTACGGTTTTGGAGTAACTAATGAAGAAGGTAAAGCTATTTTAGATTTTGCTTTAGCATTTGATTTTGTTATTACTAATATTTTATTCAAGAAAAGGGATGAACATCTTATTACTTATAAGAGTGGATCTAATAAAACACAAATTGATTATTTTCTTATGAGAAGAAGAGATCGTCGTGATTGTAATGATTGTAAAGTCATTCCAAGTGAAAATTTAAATACCCAACATCGTTTATTAGTTTTAGATTTTAAGATTAAGAATTGTAAAATAAAAAATACTAGGACTCATCATTGCAGAATTAGATGGAGAAACTTAAAAGATACAAATAAA